ATCTTCATTAAAATTGTTACTTTTGTCATAAACATTTGTACTAACAGGCAAAAAGGTGTGAGGTGGCCATGTTATCAAAAGATATCTATAGATAAACATCATCTGTACCAAAATTCCAATCACATCCTTCACAGAAATAGAAAAGGAAATCCTAAAATTCATATGGGAGTACAGAAGCCCAGGGATAATTAGAGATGGTGGCACTCACCAACAGTCTCAGAACTTGTAGGTTCAGGAAGGAGGATCGTAGTTCAAGGCCAACCTCAGCTACACAGCAACCCTGAGGCCAACTGCATCACCACAAAATAAAACTGTGTCTCAAGAAGAATCATCAGGCAGAGGCAGGCAGATCTCTGTGAGTTCAAGGTCAGTGTGCTCTACAGAGTGAGTTCCAGGACAGCCAAGGATACACAGAGAAACTTTGTCTCCAAGAAAAGTAAAATAAAACAAAACCCAAAAAAACAAAAAGTAAGAATAAAGTTAAAAATTAACGGTCAAAGCAACTCTGATTAAAGAACAATATTGGCAATGGCTAGCCTCCAATTATACTACAGAACCATAGAGACAAAAACAGCATGATCCCGCTGCAAAAGATACTTATATCAATGGACTAGAAGAATAAAGGCTCCAGAATAAACGCACACAGCTACAGCCACATGATTCTTAACAAAAGTGCCAAAAACACACTTTAGAGAAAGGATAGCTTCTTTAATAAATGGAATAAGAAAATAAGATGTCCATATTTAGGATACATCAATGACAAATCAACCTCTCACCCTATATAGAAATCAATTAAAAATGGGTTAAAGGCATTTATGAAGACCTGAAATTTTTAAATACTTGTGAGAGAGACAGGAAAATCCTCTAGAAATAGAAAAAGACATATGAATAAGACTCCAATAACTTAGAAAATAACACCAAGAGCTGACAATAGGATTGCATCAAATTAAAAGGCTTCTTTACAGCAAAGAAAATAATAAACAAAGTGAAGAGAGAAAGCCTTACAGATTGGAAAAACATTTTCACCAGCCTTTCTTCTGATAATGAATTAATTTCTAGAACTCCAAAAACTAAATACAGAAGAAAAATACTCAAATAAGTAGACAATTGAGCTGAAAAGAGACAATTTGAAATATCTACAAAATGCCTTATAGTCTGCTAGTAAGATGACACTGTATATGTATTATATATGTACAATATAGAGATACAAAATGATATATCATAGAACCATTACTTCCAAAACACCAAAATTAGACAAAACAATAAAAAGGAATGGGTAAGTTGTGGAATGCTCATTATAGTCCAATGCTCCATGGCAGTGAAAGGTAATGGTTCATGACTACATGCATCAAAGGGTATGAACCTCGAAACTCTAATAATGAGCAAATGGGTCAGAAGAACACATAAAATAGGCCTCCATTTTACAAGGCAGATAGGTATCAAATAGAAAAATCTAGACATAGATTCCAGAATACAGGATATTTAATTCATTGTGATATTTGTCGTTCAAGTCTATAGATGAGGAATGGATTGTTTAATAAGTAGTCACAGCAAAAAAATTGTTTGTCTTCAAAAGTATATTTCATCCGTAAGTTATACCACAGCTAAAAACAAATTATTATTAAAACAAATTATTATTAATTAGCTGGACATAACTTGCCAGGTTTGTTTGAGACTGATCCACATGTTCTCCTAATCTAGAAGAGCTAAATAAATTATAAGATACATTTCTTTGATGAATTATTAGGGAGTGAGTAAGGAGCAGAGTAGAAGCAAACTCTGAGAAAAGAGAAAGGACAAGTGCCCCATGCATCACACCGATTTACCAAAGGGTACAAGCAGATAAAAACGCTGGCACTGAAAATCTGAGAAGCTGAGCAAATAGCAATCAATCTCAAAGAACTGGGACACAACAGAATTGCATATCCTCTCAATAGGGCAGAGTCCCAGACATCCTTTAAGACTTCCTATAGAGACCAGCCACCATCGTCAAGGATAAGAATGAACCAACTGAGTAAGCATAGCATCAAGACATGTCAGTTCCTGACGTGTTTGGGTAGTCTGCTCTTTAGCAAAAGTATCTCATCCAAGAGAAGATGACATCGTTGGCTTCCCTAAACAGTGTTCTGTAGTCAATCAAAAGTGAACAATATAATGCATGGTGGAAAACCAAAAGAACAAAACAGTCAGGCAGTTCTGATCCTGGAGGTGTTAAATAGGGTGTGGGGTGACTGCATAGTCAAAGATAAGATAAAATGGAGATTATTTTAGCAAAGAATGGGAAATGATGTTAAAAACTGATGAAAATTTTAGACCTGAGAATGCAATACTGAGTTAAGACTGGGTTACACAGAGCTATAGGAAGATACGTAGACTGCAACCGAACACAAAGGGGTTAGAAATGAAGGGAACTGTGTGGGATGTGTGACAGTCAAAAACTTTAGCATGGTGAGTGGCTGGGATCTCACAAGTAGAGTAGGGGAAGGAATATAGTAAATATTCAAAGATTTCATGTCGAAGGATTCAACAAAACAGGACTTCAAAAAATACAGTTAAATATTAAAATGTGATCAAACTCCAAACAGAAGAATTACAAATCTATAAACACAGGTTCATTATACAAACATTTTTGAAAAAGAAGATGGAGTCTTAAGGAACAAACAAGGGAGGAGGTAGGGTAATTATTTTAAGAGAAAACCAGTCAGATTTAAAGCTGAATTCTCAACAACAACCAAATGAAAGTCTGACTACAAGATGCCCTTAAACATCTGAAAGGTGGGTAGAATTCTAAGGTTCATCACTGTGGGTTGATCATCTAAACTGGATTGAGAATTCCCAGGAAAACAAATATTTGGGCATGTATGTGAGCTTGTTTCCAGAAAGGTTTAACTAAGTAAAGCAGACTCACACTAAAGATGGGCTATGCAATTCCATGGGGTCCAAGAGATGAAGTGAGCTAAACACCAGCCAACTCTCCTCCATCACATCTTCCCTGCTCTGATGGACCGAAACTTAAGAGTACAGTAAATAACTCTTCCCCTTGGGTTGTTTTGTCTGGGATTTGGTTGAAACAATAATTTCTAAAAGGATTAGTATAATAAAAAGGTAAAAGCAGTAAGTCTATTATCAAAGTAAGGAATTATACCTTGCTCAATATCTGATATAAAAAATGAATTATGAATATTAGCAAGATATAAAATACACACTTAACATAATTTCAAGGACTGTTTGGAACACTACACCCCCCACCACACAGTCTTTGCACGGACACACACAGCATTAATAAGTTGTATGTGGATCACAGAACAAGAGTCAGCAAATTTAAAAGAATTTAACTTTATTCAGAAAAATTCGATGACATTGACAGAGTTAGTTTGGAGAGAAAAAATGAAACTGAAATGTCCATAGACATGGAAAGCAAGTTTTGTGGCTGTTTTGGTTTGGGGGTTGGGGTTTTGGCTTTAGTTTTTGTTATGAATCATGGGCCAAAAGCAATTCATGGAGAAAGGGTTTGCTTGGATTTTAAGTCCAATTACAGTTCATCATAACGGGAAGTCAGCTATGGACTCAAGGCAGAAACCTAAAACCAGGAACTGAGGCAGAGGCCATGGGACAATCCCTGGCTTTCTCCCTGGGGCTTGCTCAGCTTGCTTTCTTTTATGCCCTAGGCCCACCTGCCCAGGAATGGCATTATCCAAAGTGAGCTTGGTCCTCCCAAAACTATCATTAATCAAGAAAATGTCCCTATAGATGTGTTTAAACACCAATCTGATCGGGACATCTTCCCCTTTGAGGTCCCCTCTTTCCAAATAACTCTAGCTTATGTCAAGTTGACAAAAACCTAATCAGCACATGGTTTAAGAGAGAGATGTAAATTTAAAACATGAAAATGACTAATAATGAAAATGAAACGTAGAATCATTGTGAAAAGTTGGGGCAGGTAGAGCAAATGAAGGCCAAAGAAATCCAAAGGAAAGAAATAAAAAGAAATTCATTCATCCTTCATGAAACCAGAACCTTATGCCTCCTGTGATTTTCAAATAAAAAGAACCAGAGCTCCTCTATGTCTGGAGTATCTCTTATTGCCAGAGGAGGTAAGGACAAGGAATGTGTTCTAAGATCAACATTAATGGGACTGTTTTAGTTAGGGTTTCTATTGCAGTGAACAAACACAGCAATGATGATGATGGCAGCTCTTATAAAGGATGGCATTTAACTGGGGCTGGATTACAGTTCAGAGATTTAGTCCATTAACGTCATGGCAGACATGCAGCCAGACATAGAGCTAGAGAAGGAACTGAGAGTTCTACATCTTGTTCAGCAGGCAGCAGGAAGAGACAGCTACTGGGCCTAGCTTGAGTATTTGAAACCTTAAAGCCAACCCCCAGTGATAGACTTCCTCCAAGAAGGCCACACATCCTAATAGTGCTACTCTCTATGAGCCTCTTGGGGGCATTTTCATTCAAACCACTATAGGGACAAGAGTATAAGATGACAGAGCTTCCAATAGCCCAATTTAGAATGATCTAAGTCATGATATAACCCTAGGTTATACCCTAAAATATCAGGTAAATGTCTATGAGTCCATACTAACATAAAGGAGGGATGAGAGAGAGAGAGAGAGACAGAGAGAGAGAGAGAGAGACAGAGAGATCCTGTGTAGAAGGAGCTTGGTAATTTATGTGAATAATCCCCTCAGAGAGGAGCATAACTTTCAACATTGTGTGTAAGCCTGATGAAGGAGAAGTCTCATCAAGACTACATCAGCCTGGAGACCAAGGTTTGTTTCCATCATTACAGATGTCATGCTAATAGTAAGCACATGGTGAGAACATAACACTATTTAAAAAATTCTAAGAGAATATCATCAACAATTTGTGATAATAAAGCTGAAATTTTCCAATTAAATATTGATGAAAGTCAATAAGAAAAGATTTACCTCCTAGAAAATGTAATTCTCAAGATAATGAAGATCAATAAACATATAACATTTGACTTACTTGCAGAGAGATGAAAAATGCAACCACCACAAGATAACATCATCCTAGTCATCAAAACAGGTATGATGAAAACGTGGTGAAAATTCAAGTCCCAGCACTGTGATAGCACTCCTAGAAGTGGGAAGGGATAGACAACTTAGATAAACCAGGGGTTTACTAAAAAATCAGTGATTACTGATCTATCTGTTCCCTGTGAACTGTTGGCTTCTTCCTCAAGTTCATATCCTGCTGGAAGAATAGTGAACAAGAATGTCCATGGCTCCATAGATTCATGGGCTAGGACCCCAAACACCCACCAACAGCCTATCAGAAGGGAGGGCCACTGGGTGGACTACCAAATACCAGGGGAAGGGAACAAGCTGCTCTACAAGAGGTAGACAAAACACAAGCAAGAGAAGCTGTATTAAAGAAACAAACGGTAGTGGTCAGTGGTTGGAGGTGGAGGGGTAGAAAAGCCATTGGGAAAGGTAACAGGAGAAATACTAGTAAGCTCTGAACAGTATGACTTTTAAGTCATAACTTGGATTTCCTAAGAAAGTTGATCTTCTACATTGCCATTAGGAAAGAGTGAAAGGCATCTTGTGAGGTGGGGGACACGTTGATTTCTTTTAGTGTAGCAATCACTTCACAATGTATACAACTTCCATCACATTGTTCAACTTATGAGTGTACATTTTTGTCGACTTGCTTCAGTAGACATGAGATAACATTTTAATTGCAAATAAAGTGGGCTTTAAAAGAAAGCCTATTGGCCAGCACAGTGGCACATAACTGTAAATCCCACACTTGGGAGACAAACTGCTGAGAGTCAGTGGCCAGCCACGTGTATATATGAAAACCCTGTAAATAAATAAATAATGTACAAATTAACTTACATCAAGGCTAGAAACCACTAAGTTGAACTACAGTGTTTGGCTTTAGGAGACAAAATTTTGGAAGAGGAGGGTGGGGGAGGCCATTACCACAGACAGCACAGAAGCTTCTAATCAGCAGGGACTTCAGCAGAAGCAGTCAGGAGTGGTAAGATTCCTTCTGAGCAGCCAATTGGTGAACACTCGGCTTGGATCTTTTCTTTCTGCAATCCTTTAATAATACACTTTTGCTGTACACATTATACTTTAATTTTTTAAGTTTATTGAAAAGAATCTCCAGGTAAATTAAGATTTCTATGTAAACGTCAAACCAAGAGGAGAGAACCTGGAAGACTACAATCCATGTAAGTACCCTTCAAGAAAGAGTTTAATTATATGTGAACATCCAGAGATGCAATATTTAAAATGTGCGTGATTGATGAGAGGATACGCTAAAGCTTTCTTATGAACGTTGCTATAAAAATACCTGTACATTGTATGATGAATCTCATACAAAATGCAAAGATCAGAAGATTCAGACAACAATACATTCAAAAGCAACAAACACAGGAAGTTGCTAAGATTCTCCAGCAATCGGAAAACGAAAATTATCACTTTGGACTTCTCATCGAGGAGAAACGTTTAAGTGATTTAAAAACCTAATGTTGATGTAGGAAGTGAGGGAGTGTGTAAATCTGCTTCAGCACAATCACCGTCTCTCTGTGTATACATCGTCACAGTGTTCATCTTACCAATCTCCACTTACCAATTGCCCTTAATAAAGCAGGAACAAAACGTTAGTGGCACAAATGAACTAGGATTGCGTTTATGTATAGACACTTCAGCTGTGCTGACGGGAATGTGTGAACATCTATTAAAATGGGCACATTCCTTTACCCCAGCAATTTCACTGACAAGGAGTTATCCTGGAGAGATGAATTAACCTATGTACGGTAATATTCACATACATGGATACTGCAGCTAGATTCATATGGCAAAGAGCTAAACAATGGATGACTCTCTGTAGAAAAGATGCTAAAAGCAAAATTAAAACACATGTATAATGTTAAATGCCATAATCCCTTAAAAAGAATAATGACTAACATGTTACCTATCTTAGAAAGACTTCTAGGAGATATGCTAAAGTGCAGAAAAATATATTTTTCTAAAACACAGCAAGATGTGCATATTATCCTTGTATATTTACAAAGCCTCTTCACTCATGAGATGAGCTACACACAGAGAAAAAATTTAAGATGTTGTCATCACTTTACCTCAAGGAAGTAAGAAAAGGAGGTCTGGAGACCCAAACAAATAAAGAAAAATAAGCCTCAGGAAAAACAAAAAACAAACGAACAACCTACATCTCATAATGAATGGGAGATGGTCATGTTTATGTTAAATTATATATCAAAATAATATATATCTTCAAAGTATGCTTGGCCCACTTTAGGCATACCATATGTTTTTATTTAAAACTTAAAATATATAAAAAATTAAGGAAAAACAGTTGTATAGAGGCTCAGCTGTTCAGAGCACTTGCTGCTCTTTCAGAGTTCCCAGCACCCAGTTACAGGCTTAGAGCTGTCTGTATCTCCAGGTCCAGGATATGGAGTTCCCGCTCTTCTGGCCTCCACAGGCACCCATACATATACACATAAATACGGAATAGTTTTACAAATAGAAAGAGCAAAATAAAATTCTTCACATGCAGTTCCAAATACCACTAGGTGTCAGCAAAATTCCCCTAGAATTATAGACTTGTTCTTAACTATGAAAAAGCTGGCATTTTCATCCGCAAGCCTGACCAAAGCATATTTAGCTCATATGATATTCAAACAAGATGTATGGATTACCAGGAGGTGAATTAACTTCTTTAAAGATAGACTGCAGGTTTTATTAATAGGAAAGGCATCAACATGGCTATCATACATTCCCTATTTACTGAGATACCTACATACTTTTATCATTATTTTGCTCATGAAGCAGTCTTTTTAAAAATATAAATGATTAATCTTCAGTAAATCAAGATGCATTTATCTCATACCTTCCACGTAAAATACGGAGACAAACTGAAACAATCACATTTATTGAATTCCTTTTTAACGGAGTAAGTGAACACAATGCCAATCAAATGAAATACGACAAATAAATCAGTGCAAACTAGTACACAGGCGTGCATCAGCTGTCAGGAGCTTAGACAGGCTCCAGACTTTCAAAGTTATGCAGACAACCACCAAGCAGTTTAAACTGCAGTTACAAGCCTTCCCCTGAAGCCCATATTTTATTCATTACCAAGTCTCCTCATATTGCTGTGAGAAGAGAGCTAATGAATCTTCAGAGGTTTATCAGTCACACACTTGGTCCAGTTACTACCTCAAAGATTCGGATACGGAAGTTCATGGATCCTGTATCTTGGGAATGGGCAGAATGGAGTTTGCATGTATCGCAGAATGCTCACAGCCTCAGTGAGGGGATCTCAACTGTCTGGGGCTTGTTCTGTTGACCAAATCCCCTGTATCCATGTAACCTTGGTTTGCCAGATTTTGGCTATGTCTGGTAGTTGGGTTTCTCAAACAATGCTCCACAGTATCAGGTGCAAATACTCCAGAAAATAAGGCAAAATCTGGATTGTTTATGACCCAAACTTGTAGAGTCACATAGCATCACTCCTTCCCACTATACCATTGATTCAAAGCAGTCATGAGCCTCCCCATGTCCAATGGGAAGGAAGCAACATTCTAGCTTTTGATGGGGAATGGATAGGTCACACTGAGTAAGAATAAATAATGTGGGTAAAACTGAAAATCCTTGGAAGATGAAACCTGCCTGCTGAACAAAACACACATCCTTTATAGACAGACATTATTGCACTCAGTACAAAGGGTGTTCAAGGTCTCACTTCAGTCTAACATTAGGATAAAGTCTTGGTGTTCATCACCTAACTCAAGTCTAACCCAGCATGGTGGCACATATTTGTAATCCCAGAATTCAGGAGGCAGAGGCAGGAGGATTGAGATTGGGGACTGACATTTTGTGACCAGCCTAGTCCACACAGAGGTTCAAGGCAAGTCTGAAGTATATAGATAAGACCCTGGCCCAAAACTAACTATATAAGAAAATTGGTTAATTAAAATCATTTAGAATAAAAAATAAATCAGGTCCAGGTACATATTGGACTCCATGATGTTCCTCAAGTACATTTCTTCTGAGGACCTACAAAACAAAGTAGCAGGTTAGCCTCAAAAACATTCAACAGTTCTGCAAAAAGCACAAAGTAACTCTTACAGACATTCACATTGTAAAAGTAGACACCAAGAATGCACACAGAAACACATGTCCATTCCTGGATTAAACCTTAGTCTACTCCCTGGGCTCTTGGCCCCTCTTGTTACTTAAGTTCTTGGTTCCAACCCCCCACACTGTCCTTCCTGTCCCATTTCCAACTGAGCAGTGTGCTCCACCTGAATCATCAGAGGCTTTTTAAAAGCAAGATTGTGAAACTTCACAATTTATTTCAAAGCTTTGTGCTTCCTGTGGATCGATTATCAGTCGGTTCGAAGCTCATGTGATGCTCTCCTTCTTTGCAGTAGGCTCTTAAGAGGTAGGCTGTGCCTCCTCCATGTGGAATGTGTTATCAACAAAAAGCTCTGTAAGCAAGCAAAGGTGGCTACCCTCCCGACGAGTCAGCTGAGGCAGAAAGAACTTGAGTTCAAGGTCTGGCAGGGGAACACTGAAAATGAGATTCTTTATCACAAACAAACAAGCAACAATAACAAAAAGACTGTGAAAAGTCACCTAAGAGACTTCTAAGGGCTAAAATTTTTGTAAAATGGACCCAAATCTCATCTTAAAAAGATGACTTTCTATCAGCAACATGGAACTCATACTTGAAGTGTTAGGGTAAAAATTTAAAAGCTAGAAATAGAAGTAATTCTATTTTCATCCCAGAAAAACTATGAATCTCATATCTAAGGCTTTGTAGGTAAATAAATACTAGGCTTCTTTTTATCATCCTGTATTTCATCATAAAAATATACTCTTATAGTTCACCACTCAGAAATCACTGTAATCTTGCAGCTTAATTCATTTGTGTACTTTCAATTTTCCATTTTATGATGATAGTAATTTTTGCTAGGTTTCTTTCACAATTATGCTGAAGGTACTCTCCCCCACTTTTAGCCCTCTCTGACAATCTCCTTGAGACTTGTCAACCCCACCACCACCACCACACCAAGGCCTTTCAAGCTACTGCCCACTCTTCAGTGAAAGCTCAGGGCAACAACTCATCCTTCATACCCTAACTTGCTCAGTTATCATTTCCACATAGTATCTTTCAAAACATAATGGGTAAAAATTGCAATAAAATTATGTTTACACCTTCTGTAATGCAAACATTCAGACAGGTCACAACAGTGTGGGTTTTTTGTTTTGTTTTGTTTTTTGTTTTTTTGTTTTTTGCTTTTTGTTTTTTGTTTTTTTGTTTTTTGTTTTTAGCTCTACAATGTCTGAGCCTCATCTATGGATACCAAAATAGCCATAAGCTAGGTGCGTGCTGCAGAATGACAACCTCAGAACAGTTCAGACTTAGAGTGTTTCAACATTAATCAAGTTTCCAGTGAACAAGAAAGATGTGCATACCCTTGGGGTTATGATTCCTTGGGGGATCAAATGATCCTTTAAGAGGATCACCTAAGGCCATCTGCCATTTATATTATGATTCATAACAGTAGCAGAAATATATATATGCTCTCTAACAGGTCCTCTCCCTGGTCTTGGGACTCTCCTCCTTCAATTACTAAGACCCTGAGTCTAAAAGTTTCAAACGTACACCTAAGATACAAATATTTTTCCTCTAGACTCCTTAACTTTATCTTCTGTTCCTAGTCTATCTGTCCTAGCAAGTTTCAAATCAACTATAGATTACTCCAGCAACTCCCCAGCTCCAGATGTTCCCTTGAAATCTGCATTTTAGAGGGCTCTAAAGCAACTAGCCCTAGATGATCCAGGCTCACAAACTGCTCCAATGCTGCCTTGCTTCCCTAACTGTAGATAGGTCTGCAGAGCCAGGACACTGAATGACAGCCTGCTCTTCCTGGAAGTGACCAACATTCCAGCTTCCTTAGGTCCCTAACAGTAATACCCCACCTTCAGTAGGAAGCAACCAGAGAAAATAACACCCACTTAACCAACATCCACTCATTAATAAAATAAAAAGGTAGATCAATGTTGGGCTCTCTAACAGGCCCAAGCATCACAAATATGGCACCATCAGGGCTAGCCCTTCTTCCTTCTCTCCCCCTTGCTAAACTTTTAGATGGCATTCCTGGAACTAGCCCCCAAGTTCTATTCCCTTATTTGACCACTTCCTTATATCTAACTGAAAATCAAAGATCCAGCAATCAAATTTCATTATTTGGCTACCCTGGCTAGCCTGTCCAACAAGGACTTGCCAACTCACAGACTCCCTACTTTTCTCCTTAAAAACTATTTCTGCGGAAACACATGCTGTGTGTCTTTGTCCAATTCAAAGGAACACTCCCCACATACCTCTTGTCCTTCCAGAGTAATAAATTTCCTCTGTGCTGATAATTTGGTGTCTGAGTTGGTTCTGTGCCAACTCTGAAGCCTCATTACACACACACACACACACACACACACACACACACACGAGTTTTTGAGACAGAGCTACACAATGAAACCCTGTCTTAAAGCCAAAGAAGGCCTTTATTGTTAAATTATTGCCTAAACTTTGGCGTTAAAATTCATCTCCTCTAACCCTAATCATTAATGTTGCCATATTCTCCTGTAGCAGAACAAAACAGAAACACTTCACTGATAAATTCACCAAACAAATCCATTAAAACGTTTTTCCAATACAAACATTTCAAAGTTGTAGAAACAATCTTCAGAATTTTTTCAGGGTTTATGGTGAGGTGGTCACCCCAAAATATTCAAGGTATTTTGATCACAAAATATAAATACTAAACTATCTGATCAAAATAGCTACAAAACAGATATTAGTTATTAGACAAAAACACAGATAAATGGTAGATGGTTGGTAGTAGACAGGTAGATAGATTCCCATTCTTGAATAATCTTTAAAACTCAAGATGCCAGACAAAAATCCCATTATCATCATAAACAACAGAATGTCTAAAATTATCTCCCAACTTTGATATTGTTATGCCAATCTATTTAATATGGATGCACATACAAAGATACACATAATTTTCCCCCATTGTTTTAAATTTTTTCTGATTTTTCAAAATATTCTTCAAAACTATCTACATTATGTGGACTCTGAAGTGTACTTGTATAAATTGATAGCTCAACTTTTATCTTGAAACAATGTTCTGGAACTATTTAACTAATGAATTTATATTTACAAAATACATTCCAGTTTACAGGTAAGTGCAATGGCAAGATATGACTTTCGCCTCTCAGTACATAAAAGTGGCCATGAAAGTCACGCACATCTTCATCTTCAAGCTAAAGTCAAACTGACTGTAGTACATTGCTCTGCAGAGGTTTAAGCAGCAGTGGGGTGGGTTAGGTCAGTGCATGCTACACGCATGTGTATGCATACCACACAGAACCTCAGGGAAAATATAAAGCATAATGTCACAAATCAAAGAAATAAAGAAGCTACCAACAAGAAATATGAAACCAAACTAAAAGCAGACATGAGAAGGCAGATGCTATGGTTCTTGCCTGCACTCTCAGAACTACTTGAGTAGGAGTTCAAAGCCATCTGAGACTTTGTGGTGAATTTGAGGGCAGCCTGGTCTGAATTAGGCTTTGTTTCAAAGAAAAATAAAATTATACACACAAATACATGTATGAAGAAATTAGCTAAAGACAGGAAAGGAAGGCCTTGAATCTGACCTCCCTCCTATCTTCTTAGTCCTACACACATCCATATTCCCTAGGAAAAGATGCCCCCAGAGTGTCAACTACATATATCATATCCATGATTGCAATCATGACTCTAGAAAACTAACAAGAGAGACAAAGACAACGCTGCCTGAAAAAGAAAAGATCAGAAGGGAATGATGTAAGGATGCTCATTGGCTTTCAACTGCTCACAAGGGACAGCCTACGAAATAAGGCTGTTTTAAGATACCATCCTCTCTAGGGTTTCTATTGCTGTGATGAAATGCCATGACCAAAAGCAAGTTGGATACGAAAGGTTTTATTTGACTTACATTTCCATATTATATTACATAGTCCATCACTGAAAGAAATCAGGGCAGGAACTCTAACAGGGAAGGAAGCTGGAGGCAAGAGCCAATACAGAGGCCATGGAGGGATGCTGCTCACTGGCTTGCTCCCTGTGCCTTGATCAGCCTCCTTTCTTATAAAACCCAGGACCACCATCCCAGGAAGGGTACCACCCACAATGGGCTGGGCCCTCCTCCATTGATCACTATTTAAGAACATGCCTTACAGCTGGATCTTACAGAGGCATTTTCTCAATTCCATTTTCCTTTTTTCTGATGACTCTTCTGTTACGCTGACATAACAGTACATATACTATAGGATAATGAACCACACTTCCTAAACAGCACCCATTCTTAGCCATAAAATTGTGCATGGCACTTTAGTATAGCCTCCAGGAAAAACCAAAGTGAACTGGTTCTCTGACATGCATTAATGCGAGGAGTTGCCCTGTGCTTACCACTTTCATCCAGCTCAGGAACAGCTAAAGCAAGATGGGGATTGCATGTTGTCCTATATATCATGAGGTTCCATCTCCTTCTACTGAAAAACAAAACAGAAGAATATGTTATAATTTTTGAAATACTGTAGCTCGTACTTAGAATGAATCAAGATTTATGTGTGCTACCACAAAAGAGATTGCATAACTTCAAAAAAGCATAATAAATTCCCAAAGGAGCTAGCAACAAGACACTTGGGGAGCTGAGAGAGTAAAATGCCAAGTTCATTGCTCCTGGACTACAGAATGAGTTCAGTATGGGCCCCTTAATGAAATGATGGTTCAAGACAAAAAGGCAAAAGAAGGCACATAGCTCAGTGGCAGAGTTGCTTGCCTGTATAGGCAAAGCCCCAGGATCAGTCTCCAATTGTGAAAAAAAAAAAAGAAATGGTTAAAAAGTTACAAAGTGAAAGGTAAAAAACAAAAAGAATAGACAAGTTACACAGCTTCATTATGTACAACAACTGAAACCAGCTCACCACAATCACTTAATACATTTCCACCTCGGGAAAAGGTAACCATTCTGCTCCTTTTACTATATACAAAACAGAAGTGTTGTCGTGAAGGTATCCATGTAGTAAGTACTATGTTAAAACTCTGTACATTTTTATGTGTATGTGTCTATGTGTGCACACATATGTGCAGGTACTCTCAGAGGCCAGAAGATGATGTCTGACTCCCTAGAGCTGGAGTTATATCTGGGTTCCAAACTCTGGTCCCCTAGAAGAAAAGCTGAGCCATCTCTCCAGTCCCTGTGTACTTATTTAATAAGTGAAAGATTTGAATATTGAGGTTTTCAAGCAAGGAGATACTGGACTTCATCTTGTCCTAGATGAAGACACAATGTAACAGCCTAACAGCAGGCAGCAGGGTCCCATTTCTGCAGGAGTAAGGTATCAAAATTAAACTTTCTCTTCTCTTTTTTGTTTTGTTTTGTTTTATTGTTTTTGGTTTTTTGAGACAAGGTTTCTCTGTGTAGCACTGGCTGTCCTGGACCCCACATTGTCCACCCGGCTGGCCTCGAACTCACAGAAATCTGCCTTCCTCTGCCTCCCAAGTGCTGAGATTAAAGGCATGCACCACCTGGATAAACCTGTTTGTTACCATTGTATTTTGTTTTGTTTGAAAACCATGACCACAGCAAGTACATAAATTTATAACATACAAATATTTGTCTCGACACTAAAATTTTTCCTTGAATGGTCTTCAATATTTGGGGGAATCTAATTTAATGTTTGGTTTACCTAATGACTCACCATGTGTTAAGAGCACCAGGGGGATGAGGAAGAATCACAAAAGTCAGTTGATGGGAAAAATTGATGGGGAAAAAAACAAAGAAGATTAAAATACATGCAGCTGTTCGAGTGTCTCTGACAATCAAAGATATATCTAGGTAGGGTATTGGGTTACACTTCTAATTATATGGGCATATTGTTATTGAGCATTACTAAACTTATAAAGCCTTTGATTAACATTTTTTTTAAAAAGTTGAGCTAATTTAAAAAAAGAAAGAAAGAAAGAAAAGATGCAGTTGACCATGAATATAAACCATGCACTTCAATATTGTTCTCAGTACTCAACCTTTAGCTGTATGGCACTTTGTTGACCAATAGTTGGCCAATAATTTCTCAGCTCCCGTTGACCAGCACTGAGTATCCCAGCAAAGCAAAGGTCTGACTGTAATGGATCTGGTATCTTGCTAATCACAGCTGATTCTTCAGCCCCCAGCTAACTAGAAACATTGACTTTTAATTCAAAATAGCAAATGGCCCCTACAGAGTCTTTAAATTTCCCTCCATAACTTCATAGGCCACATCTCTCATTTGGATTTCTCTCAACATCTCTTCCACATTACGACAGAAAAACTCATCAAGTTTTGAATGCTCAATGGCTTTTCTTGCCCAAAGTTCCAAAACCCTTCCACAATCCTCCTAAACACAACATACACAGTCAGGTCTATAACTTCAACTTTTGCAAAACCTACTTTTAATGATGGTTCTTAAACATTTTAACCTCCCTTGTAGCCCACCAGAAAGAGTAGAAAAGAAAGGATATGGGGTAAGTGGACCTGTTTAGAAATGGTTCCTTGGAGCAACTCCCATCTGTGTTGTCAGGAAATCAGCAGTTTAGTTCACAGATCAGCAGCAGCAGCTTGATCCACTCACAAACGCTTCACAGATACACTAGCAATCCTGTTCAGTAGAGTCAGGATAGCAGCAGCAATGGCATAACCTAGCAGGAACAGCCAGGCCTCAACTGAAAGAGCAATAGTCAGAAGGAGGGACCAGGGCCCACAGGAACTCCAAAAGAAGTTCTCTGCTATGCTTCTCTCAGTGAAGCAAAGATCAGCAAAGACTTAAGACCAAGAAGCATTGCATAGCTAGCTCTACTAGCAAGCCCTAAGCTCCTCTAATAGTTCATTGAATCATATTTATACCCCCTCCAAACATCTTGTGTCCTCTACAGGTCTTGCCTTGCAACCTGTCTTGCCTCAGCACATGAGTCTGACTTCAAAAGATTCTGTGAGTCTGTCTCAGCTGACGTCAGCCTGAGTCCATCGAAGAGACAAGAAGCTGAAGCACACCAGCAGAAGTTTTTTGGTGCAGTTGAAGAATCCTTCATCACATGTCCTTTCATGTGCTTGCTTTAGCAGAACATCCTTTTACTTGTGTCTGCTTCAGCAAAATGTTTCATCATGTGTCTGCTTTAACAAAATATCCTTTCACTTGTATCTGCTTCAGGACATGTTTGCTCCAGTAAAACACCATCCAACACAACTGACTTTCCAAAGAACCCTTAAACTTCCACTTCAGAGGTCTGTCACAATACCCCCTACTCCTCATAGCAGTTTCTGATCTCATTAAGGTTACTATTGCTGTGATAAAACACCATAACCAAAACAACTTGGAGAGTAAAGGATTTATTAGGTTTATACTTCTTCATCCCTGTTAATCATCAAAGGAAGTCAAGACAAAAACTCAAACAGAACAGGAGCTGAAGAAGCCATGGAGAAGTACTGCTTACTCATCATGGTTTCTCAGCCTGCTTTCTTATATCATCATGGACCACAAACCCAGGAGTGGCACCACCTATGCTACGTAGCCCCTCCCTACCCCCATCAATCACTAATTAAGAGAATGCCCTATATGCTTGCCTACAGCCTGGTCTTATGGAGGCATCTTCCCAGTTGGGGTTCCCTCCTCTCCAATGCCTTCATCTTGTATCAACTTAACATTCGACTCCCAGCATAGCCATGTAGCTTCAGCAGCTCTCATAATTATATACATGACAGTTAAATGCTACTGCATCTTGAGAAGCCCATGACCAGCCTGCCTCCTAAATCCTGGGATTAGAGGCATGTACCACCTTACCCTGCTACAACTGTTTTCCTTTAATCCCCAGCACACTGATACTCTATTAATATCCAAGCTTAAATCTACGTTAAAACCCTTTCTAATAAACCACAATCTTGCTTCAAAACAGCAGCAACTGTGAATAAAGTGACTTGCAATCCAGACAAACTGTAGGTCCCCACTTGAACATAAATAACAGCTTCTATCGTAGTGTTGTGGTACTCGTATTCAGTGAGAGAATACACACACTTTACCACAGTGCCAGGAACACAGAAAACTACCCACTGCTACATAACCATGTTCACTGATATCATAATGAAAGGTGTAAAAGAAGAAGGGGGCAGTTTCATAGCATTCATCAACTGAGTTCAGTCTAAATGTGAATCACAGAAAATGTTATAATCGTACAGCAGTAACAACAAGACATTTCTTCTCACTGAAAGAGTGTAGTCTGTGATGATGTGAGTTATGATCTGGGATTTGGAGCAAACATTATTTTGAAATCTGAACAAACATTCACGGAGAAGAAACATCGTTGCCTATAAAATCCACAGTAAATAATCCATAGAAAAAAATAATAAAATGCAGAAAAGAAAAATCAGACAATAGCACATAAGATGATAAAATCTTAATATTCAGAGTCTGTTTTATGTCTAATGGCTTAAGAGAAAATATACTTCCATAAGTTTGTCCACTAAATTTTAACTGATTTAGCAATATGCTAGAAATACTCTCAAAAGCTACCTGGATATATAATTGATCTGTTACAAAATAATGTGCATGTTAGAAAATTGATCCTTTAAAAAGAGCTGAAGAGCTAGCTAACCATTTGACCTGAACTCTTACAACCTCAGGAGTTTTATGAAACTCTTGATAGTATTTATAAAATGCCATGCATGGGTACATGCACATAGTTATAGAAACAGCTACTTTTACTGAAATCTAAAAAATTCATCATTCAGAAATGATACAGATGGCAAAAACGATAGCCCAAATTATTGTATTTGTTTGTTTGCTGGTTGGTTGGTTGATTTGTCTGGTTGTTTGTTTAGACAGGGTTTTTCTATGCAGCCCCAGCTGGCCTGGAGCTCACAGTACAGTTGAGTCAGCCTCAGATGACTCTCCTGCCTCTGCCTGTTGAGAGACTGTAGCCACAATACACTATGCCTATCTCTATTCTGATTCCCTAGTAAGAATGTTTCTCTGCCATATGGTATGTTCATTCTGAACAGTTTTAGTCCATTAAAAACAAAGAATCAAAAATAGACACTCCTTTGGAAACGGTGACTTACTTTTCAAGTGTTCTTCTGTAATTCTTTCATTAACACCCACTGCTTCTGAGTCCATTGTGTTACTCTTTTCCTGGGATTCTTTAGTTGATAGGTTTTCAAAAATGTTTCCAAAGCAGCCTGTATTGCTCTCTAAAGGATCAGGTACTCCCCCAGACATAGATGCTACACATATCTCCAACAGAACTGAACTTTGGAAGTTGAGTTTCCCACTAACAATTTTTCTTCTCAGGTTTAAATTTCCAGAGTGTAATTTTTTTACTAGCATGGCTTTTCCTTAAGAGGTGCCTAGGGACGTTTCTCCTCTTCAGAGGGTTCCTCCTCTGTAGCTTTTGTTTGTTACTGCTACAATTAACATTTTCTTTTTTGTAACAATGTTTGTTCACCAGTGAGCAGACGGTGTGGCTCTGTAGTTTATGACGGGCTTTCCTACATGCAGGAGCAGTAATTCGGTCCAGATGAGCCGAATCCTTAGGATACATGGCAAAACCGGGAGCCACTAGCATATCTGCTACACTGTCATTCTCACGAATGACATCCACTTCCAATACTGCTCCAGGATCATACTCCCTGAACTGAAAAACTAATCCTGGTTTGCTTAGGAAGTCTTGAAAAAACAGTCTGACTTCATTATTCCATAGTTTCCCTGTAGCAGGCAAGACGCCATAGAGGCTACTTGCCTTGGCAAGTTCATAATTTTCTGAGGTACAGATTTAAGATTCATTGCTTCTGAATAAGGTACACGAACGAAAAGTCCATCAAAATGAGATGTAAAGATTGATCCGAAACTTCAGAAATTTCTGCTCTGCTCCACTGATCTTCCGACTCACTTTTGAACAAGCAACTAGAACCAGGAATCATGTGCTCCAGAGGCAATGCTCGCAACAGCTCTGGTACATCTGAAAGTAAGGTAAAGAGGCACTTCATTATATCAAAGAAATCCTCTAACTGCACACAGAAGTCTGAGGAGTCACAGACAGCAATGGCGATGCCAGTCGCCATTTTGGAGTGGTGCCTAAACAAACGGCCAGATTGCACATGGTGACAAAAGTGTCTGGGGCTCCAGACCAAAGATCGTGGTGTTCTCTGTTCTTCCACTTGAGATGAAGTTACATTTAAATACCTCAAAAGCAACATGCCATCTACCAAAATGTCCACTTCCCAAGTGTAGTCTAAATATTTCAGAGAAAGGATGTTCATTCCCAAATGAGCAAATAAACACACAATGAACTCAAGGGTAGAATGTGTCAACCAAATCCGTTTACAAGGCACTCCTTGTCGTAGACTACTCATGATCTCACTACTTGGTACTTTGGCATTATGGTATTATTTACTGCACGGTTTCTGTGATCTATTAAAAAAGCAAGTACTTTCTCGTCCATCCACTGCTCGACTGTCTTGGGCTGGTACCACATTAAATTTCTTTTAGATGCTGCCAAGAATTTTAACCCCTTTTGAATATCATCCATTGATAACAAAGAGGAATTTTTATCTTCTGTAGTAATTAATAATGCTAAATCTGATGTTTTCTGATTTTTTGGTAACATCACATGAAATCCCCCAGTCTCTGAAATATAAATCATTTCTCTTTTTTCGAGCTGTCCATGTCTCAACAGTTCAAAAGGAATTTCATCCAGCTGTTGGGAGAATGGGTGAAAGATCATGGAACCTCCACACATATTTACTCTTCCGGTCTTCTTGTTGTTGGTGGCTTCATGGGTACTGACTTTGTGAGCGATGACCTGAGGCATCTGCAGTGCTGCCTTCTGTTGTTTAGGACATGGTGACCACCTCAGCAATTTCTTGATGACACATTTATCACCACAAGATACATTTACTTCCCAATGTTGGTCATGTGTCTTCCAAAATTCACAAAAAAACTGTTCTTTTTAATTATTCCTGAGGCAAAATAATCTGCAATTTTGCTTTCACATATTTCAATGGCCCAATCCCATCTTATCATATGAATAGTTAGGAGTTCCCTGTTAATAGAATAAACCTTACACCCATTTACTATGCTAGTATTACCAAGATCAAAACCTTCCACTTCAAAGACCCTTCAGACAACATATGCTTAGTAACATCCCTGGCCATGGCATGGTCATTAGCGTATTCTACGTGATCTCTCACCAAAGGGCTCAGACGGTTCCAATTTTTCTGGCAATCTATCTTTTTTCTAGAACATGGGTGAGTCCCATTGCTTTGTTTCCATTCCCAGTACATGCCATGTGAAAATTGTCTGGGTGATGGAAAGCGGGTGCAGACCCCTTAACCTGAGTACTCAAGTCAACTTGGAGCTCAGGAATTTTTGTGATTGGAGGTCTAATAAGGATTCGAAGGCTTTGAGAAGCTGATTGATTTAAATCTTTTGTAAATAATTTTGATACTCTCTCTCCTGAGTAGGGGCCCATGTCACTGTCTTCAAGAATATGTGCAGACCCAGGGGCAAATTTTACATTTTTAAGTCTATCCTTCAAGGACTTCTTGCTTTTTGGAATTGGTTCAACTTTACAACAATCTGATGATTTCAAACTCCTGCTGTAAATGCTTTGGAGATGCATCAATCAATCTGTTTTGTTTGCAGAATGTGTTGCTAGGCTAGTTTTATTTATTGCATTGTGGCAATGGGTGCTTTCTGTGTTTGCTTTCAAAGAAGCAGCAGACACCTGATTTAACCTCTGCTTCTTTCCCACACACCAGGCTTGTTTAGAATGTTTTTCTCCATAAGCATTAAGTAGCAATTTTATTGTCTGATTTATATGTTGATACCCATCATATAAGTCTATACCAAGCTGTCCATCTGATTCCCTAGACAGTATTACAGCTTTTAATGGTTTCCCTAAGAAATTACCTTCAAACCATCTATTGATTTCTCCTGGAATATGGATATCTCTAAGATCTGACAGAAAACACTGAATCGCTTGCATCGGTGTAAACAGCAACTCTGGAAACTGGTCAGAAATGGCACACAGCATATTTTCTTTGACCAATTGCTCATTTCCATAGTCTACAAAATAAACACAAATGTCAGATGATGATGCTGTTGGCTTCGCCAAGGCTCTATATGAGACCCCATCCTGTATATACGTAGAGATGCACAGTCTCATTCTGTCCCAGTTGTATTTTGAACACATTTTGAGGTTAATCATCTCTGTGATTCTTGTCTCCAACATCTCTAAATATTTGCTGTTTCTACAAAGCTGGCAATAGAACCTTTTAGGACTATATTCATGAGATATATACACATCTTCTTCTTCTTCACTCCCAATCTTTATATCAAAGGAAGAGCAATAGTAACTGTAAAGACTAATTGAAAGTGGTAGTGGCCTTGATAATACGCTGTGGTGGGTGGAGCCACAGCGAAGGAGAAATTCATTTGCACTGGCAAGTGGTGATTGTAAATCCACTAAATTACATAAGCATCTAGGGTGTATGAGGACTAAGGCATACACAATACAGGTAAGTAAGCCTCCACATGAAGAAATGAAATTTCCAAAGTCTCTGGATGATTCTGCTGTCCAATCTAATAGTTTACAGGTAATGGGCTCAACTAAATAGTTGAGACAGCATCTGAAAGCCTGGGCTTCTAGCAAGAAAATGTGGGTTGATAGCACAAAGGTCTTTAATGAACACTCGCTCTTGATTGCTGTAGTCAACAAATATTAGTTCAACTTCTTGTTCTGATGCTTGAGTCAAGATGGCAGCCCTGTACCATTTCCCATCTCTGGGATGCTTAGCAACACAAGCTACCTTCCCAGTCTGATATGGCTCTGGGTGGATGCTATAATAATCTTGAATTTGTTCCATCAGTAGCTTTAAATCTTCTAATTTACACTAAAGCTGGCATGAAAAGTCACCAGGGCCATGACAGTAGGAGCAGTTGACCTTGATAAGTTGTCCTGGTTTGAACACATACTCCTTATAACAAAGTGATGAGTTGGGTTCAAAGACCAAGTTGAAAGAAACTTTTAAATCCAGGAACCTGCACAAAGATGAGATGTTTTCTTTCATCTTATTGGAATGATTCCTCTCAGGCTCAGGTCTTTTGACAGGGACAGAGGTCACAACACTTTTCTCATCAAGTGTATTTAGCTTTGTAGATTTGTGGAAACCGGTTGCTACCTCCACAGGTTCTGCATATCCAGCTTGTAACATCAGAGAGACAACATCAGTATTCTCAGGATCTTCAACATTCTGAATATTCACCATGTACTTGTCATCTTGTTTTGCTATAACTTGAAACAAATTGCTTTGTTCAAAATGATTTTTTTAAAAATAATCTATTGCTGCCTTTATCCACACACCTGTCACTGGAGCTACATGTGCCAATAAACAGTGCACGGCTAAGGGAGGCAACTCACGAAATTCTGGAAGCAAAATTTTTACATCAAAAAATGATATAGAGTCAGTACTTCCATAGTCAGGAGGTAAACATTAATCTGAGAGTCATTCATTTCAGTGATGATGGCTCAGTAGAAACATCTATCCTTGCTATATCTGGTGCAACACAATAGTTCAGGTCCAGGGTGTCTCAGAGTTAGTTCATTGTTTTCAGGTGCATCATAAAACTTATTTATAGTTCTCATTAAGTCTTAAAATTTTCTCTGGTATTTATTAATGCATACACAGAAATTGGATGGGTTCAATGCATTCACTACAAATGCTATGTAGGTAGATTGGACCTCCATTTTTACAGTTTTAATCGGAAAAGCTGCTTTTAAGTCATCTTTTTCACTTAGTCCACCTACTGACTGCTCAACATTAACCACAAAGCTGTCTGTCCCATAAGTGCCCACATCATTTAGTATCTGTGTGCCCCACATCCTTGGCAGATACTTAGAATTAGCTGCAGATTCTTGAGACTGTAAAGTCACGTAATACAGACGTTCATCCTCACTGAACCAGTCAATGCAGGCGTACACTATGTGTTCCAAAAGGGCTTGCTTAAATACAGTCAGTTGTTGTTTCCTTACTTCCTGGTCTGGACTGTGTAAATATGTCAGAGAGCACAGAAATGAGAATGATGGTGCAAAGTTAAAACCCTGCTTCAGTTTCTTCACATAGACAGAGGATACAGACTCACTGCCACCATAATCCATGAACCAAATTTTCACTTGATTATCGGGCAAGAACTGCTGGAGAATTCCTCTTTGCCACCGCCCGTTTATCCCTTTAGCAACACACAGGAGTCCAAAATTATCACAAGCGGGGCCAATTTCTTGACCTCCTGTGTTATAATCCAAATTCATATGCTCTGTCAAGTCTTCTAGCTCTGGAATCTGCTTAAGTAATTGACAATAAAATTTACTGGGACTCAGTGCAGATGACACTTTGATGCTGTCCAAACTTCCCACTGGTAAAGATGGCTGGAAATTATCTAGGACATACTGAACGTCAAGTGAAGTGCTCTTGCCACTTGATGGCAACTTAGGACTTTCATGTTGTAGTAAGTCTGGCATTGGCTGAGGGATTTCCTTTAATATTTCCACAACAAGACGAAACGTATCCCTGTCAATAAATCTTCCTAATTGTAACTCAAGAAGAATCATTTCAAGAGGCAAAATAGTTTGCAATTGCCTTTCATCTGTATTCCTACTAGTGACTTGAAATAATTCAAAGCTTTGGGAGACCATCTCTCTCCAACTGGGAGTATGTTAGCAAAAATGTCAAATATGATTCTGGGCGGGAGGTCAAATAATTTTTTGCAAGCAGAAGCTACTCGAGTACTATCGACTGTCAATTCGTCTCCCCATCAATGAGCAGCACTGTATAGACTTCATTCTTCTTTCCCAGGACTCTTCCTCTCTGCCATTCTCCAGTCTCTCTTCCCTCCACTAGGCAAAACTCGTCAATGCCCACGTTATTCTTCACTTTGGGGATATACTGTATTTCCCTCTGC